ATTGTATAACTATTATATACAAGTGACAAGTGGGATATTCCATGGTGTGTCACGAGAAAGCATTGTATAACTATTATATACAAGTGACAAGTGGGGTATTCCATGGTGTGAAACGAGAAAGTATACTTGACTGCAAATGCCTATAGGAAGAAGCAGAGGAATACCACCGAATATACGACGACTTTCGTGAATCCTGTTTGGGTGTGTTTTCAATGTTGTGAGATAAATAATGGAGAAATATTCAGTTAATGATGACAATACATTTTCTTAAAGATAACATTAAGTGCGATGAGGATTGTGGTCCAAATAAACAGTGTGTTGGTTTTCCTGATGGTTCAACACGTTGCCTTTGTAAAAAGGGAACGGTGATGAAAATGGATGGAACATGTACAGGTAAGAAACGTATCTTCAGAAAATGACCCTCAATTGGGATAATGTTAGTATAGCAAAGCTTGCTCCTTATGTAGTTACGCAACTTAGTATAAAGAGTTAAGTGCCTATCATCCTACTGACAGTATTCACAGTATTGATTCCACATGGGGTAATATGTCGAAAAGCTGAGGAGTAATTATTTAATGTACAAAACATTACTGGCTCAGATAACTTAAATTTGAAAACCGTCATTGTTCCCCCATTGCTCTTATATAAATTATTTCAGAGTAGTTTTACGTAGTAGCCGGTATTTCGAATCACAAGGAACAACCAATAACCATAAATGCCTCCTTACGTCACAGCATTAGCATATGGCATGGAAAACATTGAAAAACCTATATACCTTCAAGAAGCCGCACTCAAACTATGACATTTTTTCGGGATGTTCAACATCTTACCCCATATAGAATCAATACTGTGAATATTGTCACAAGGGTGATAGGCATTTTAAGAATACGGAAGTTTATTTGATGAACTGCATAGAACTCAAAACAAGAAGTTGAGGTATTGCAACTTGTCATTTGTCACAACCTGTCATCGTTTATCACCACCGCAAGTACAGCAGTGGCGCAGCTCAATGGGGTCGAATTGAAAGCATGTGATAATGATTGCATAATAGGGGGACGTAATGTCATGCTGATTGCCATTGTAATGTTAACGTTAATGCTCGTTTTCATTGTTTTGAAGCTGCCTCATCAAATAAAACCATCAATCCTTGTGACATGAGTCTTTGTGCATTCCCCACTATTAACTGTGTGGTCGTCAACAACACTGCTACCTGTGAATGTCCTAAGGCTTGTACGAGAGAATANTGTGACATGAGTCTTTGTGCATTCCCCACTATTAACTGTGTGGTCGTCAACAACACTGCTACCTGTGAATGTCCTAAGGCTTGTACGAGAGAATATAGACCCGTGTGTGGTACGGACGGTAAGACATATGGTAACATGTGTACCCTGACCACTGCTGCCTGTAAACCAGAGAACAAAGATACCCTGAAGCTTGCTCATAATGGACCTTGCCCAAGTAAGTACTTAGTTTTCTCTGTTCTCATTAGCCAAGAAGATTAGTCACGTGACAGGCATTAATTGCCATTATTGTTTACTTAGTGTGAAAAGCTCATTTTCCTCTCTTGTCATTCGATAAGAAGTTGTCACGTGATAGCCATCAAAAGTCATTGTTATATACCGAGTATGAACGTTCATTTTCTCTCGTGTCATTGGATAAGTTGTCACATAATAGTTATCAATTTTCTGCGTTTCACGGCTCCAGTTCTGTGCTCCTTCGTCTCAGAAGACATCGTCATCTTGAGAACACAAAAATATCCAGTTTCCAGTAAATTAATCTGAGTATCGGGCCTTGCCGGGGTGCCTTGTGAGGGGTTGGGGAGGAGTTGGGAGCCTTAGAGCCTGATACTTAGGTTACCGGTAAATAGGTTATTGTTTATCGCAGATATGCCCACTTTACTAAAATCTATTCCATTGGTTTTGGTTTAATTTAAGGGCAAATTATATAATATCAATATATTTGTTCTATAGCTGCTTCATCTGATAAAGCAATCAATCCTTGTGAAATAAGTCTTTGTGCATTCCCCACTATTAACTGTGTGGTCGTCAACAACACTGCTACCTGTGAATGTCCTAAGGCTTGTACGTTAGAATATAGACCCGTGTGTGGTACGGACGGTAAGACATACGGTAACATGTGTACTCTTGCCGCTGCTGCCTGTAAACCAGAGAACAAAGATACCCTGAAGGTTGCTTATGATGGTGCTTGCCGCGGTAAGTACCATTTGCTTGACTGGTTTAAGTTGACATTAATGCCATTTACTCAGTTGCACAATGACCATTTCCATCTATGAGTTATCCGTGCCCTCGCATTGATAACACAAATGGTTGGTACACTTGTGGCTACAAAAAAGGTTTTGGAATATCCAGTATAGGATGCATAAGTATAATCATTGTCCCATAAGAACTACATCCAGAATTGCTAAAAAGTCTTTAATTAAATTATCCGAGAAGACTGTCTTCCCTGCAGCCCACGTTCGGTTTGGTTTCTGCCAAGAAACAAAGGACTCCTACAAAATACAACTGATTTTGATTTACGATTTGCTGGCCATGAAAAGTGTTACAGTCTTTTTTTTTTTTAATTATTTTATTCGCCCATTGAGAGCTTCTCATTTCATGGCCGAAGCAATGCGTGCTATGGGAACAATAATAAAGCGAAGAGGAATTTCGGATCTTTTTTATGTAATAAATTATTTGAACTTTATTTTATTGGCATTTTTCAGCTGCAGTGGATCACGTGATCTGTTGGTGCATTTAACCAATAGCATTTTCTCTTCCTAGATAATAATGAGTGCGAAAACGAAGAGGCACAATGTAGTGAATATGCTGATTGTATTAATACACGAGGCTCGTATGTTTGTCGATGTATCCCTGGATTCACAGGCGATGGCAAGACCTGTAGAGGTACGACTTGTTGCTAGAAACAGGTTTTAAGAGGCAATGTCCACAAGAATCGAACAAATTCAAGAATTCGTGGCAAGGGTCAAAAAATCAAATTCGCTCTTCTTTTGAAGTTAGATAGGCCATTATTAGATATGAATCCCTGGGTAGTTGGTTTTCGAAAATATTATTTTATTTTCGAGAAAACGGCCACAGAAGAGTTTCGACCGAAACCCAAGCAAGAGACGCTCAAGAGGAGTGAAAATGGACAAACTTTGAACAGAGCGCGCGTAAAAAATAAACCATCTATGACAATTTTTGAACTTTCTTCTTAATGTATCACCCTTTTTCGTTCATTGGACTGGATTTCAAGCTTATTGGGATGGGACGAATTTTTGGCGAGGGAAAATAGGAGGCCTGTGTTTACATATGCTAATTAGTTGCCTCAAAAGAAAAAA